ATACACACACAAAAGTGTTCTTTCACATCTTTCAATCATAAAGTTGCCTCATTTGAGTAAGTTGTCCATATGAAGCCTTTCCCACATTCTTTATATTTGTAGGGTTTATCATTATTATAAGTTCTTGCATGTTGAACAAGGTTTGAGCCATGAGTAAAGGTCTTTTCAAATTCCTTACATTCATAAATTTTCTCACCAGTATGAAGTCTGTGATGAACGCTAAGTTGATAGCCAGTACCAAAGGCCTTCCCACATTCTTTACATTCATAAGGTTTCTCACCAGTATGGACTTTCTCATGTTTAACTAGGCTTGAACCCCAACTAAAAGCTTTCCCACATTCTTTACATTTAAAAGGTTTCTCACCAGTATGAACCTTCTGATGTTGAGTAAGGTGATAGCCCCGACTAAAGGCCTTTCCACATTCTTTACATTCATAAGGTTTCTCACCAGTATGGATTCTTTCATGTTGAACAAGACTTGATCCCCAATTAAAGGCCTTTCCACATTCCTTACATTCATAGGGTTTCTCACCAGTATGAAATATCTGATGTCTAGTAAGTTGATAGCCACTACAGAAGGCCTTCCCACATTCTTTACATTCATAGGATTTCTCACCAGTGTGAACTCTCTCATGTTTAACTAGGCTTGAACCCCAACTGAAGGCCTTCCCACATTCCTTACATTCAAAAGGTTTCTCACCAGTATGAATCTTCTGATGTTGAGTAAGGTGATAGCCCCGACTAAAGGCCTTTCCACATTCTTTACATTCATAAGGTTTCTCACCAGTATGGATTCTTTCATGTTGAATAAGACTAGATCCACAATTAAAGGCCTTTCCACATTCCTTACATTCATAGGGTTTCTCACCACTATGAAATAACTGATGTCTAGTAAGTTGATAGCCCCAACAAAAAGCCTTTCGACAAATTCTACATTCATAAGGTTTCTTACCAGTATGGATTTTCTCATGCTGAGTAAGTTGATAGCCACGACTGAAGGCCTTCCCACATTCTTTACATTTATAAGGTCTCTCACCTGTATGAATTATCTCATGTTTAGCAAGGCTTGAACCCCAAAAAAAGGCCTTCCCACATTCCTTACATTTATAAGATTTCACACCAATATGAATTTTCTGATGTTGAGTAAGGTGATAGCCACGACTAAAGGCCTTCCCACACTCTTTACATTCATAGGGTTTCTCACCAGTATGGATTCTCTTATGTTTAACAAGACTTGATCCCCAACTAAAGGTCTTCCCACATTCCTTACATTCATAGGGTTTCTCACCAGTATGAAATCTCTCATGCACAGTGAGTTGATAGGCACTAAAATAATTCTTCCCACAGTCCTTACATTCAAAGTGTTTTTCAACTGTATGAGTTCTCTCATGTTGAACAAGTTTTGAGCCATGACTACAAGCTTTCCCACGTTCCTTACAAACATAAGGTTTTTCTCTATTATGAATTCTTTGATGTGAAGTAAGAGATTTACTTTTTCTATAAGTGGGCGTTTTTTCATAGCTGATTACCATTTGACTGAAATATCCCTCTCGATGTCCTTGTAGTCCCTCAAATTTGCTTTTGCACTTCCAATTATTTCTGAAAATGGATGCCCCAAGGTCAAGGGTTTTACTTTTTTCCTTTATCTCCCCTTGAGAAAAATTTATTTCAAAAATATCGTTTTCTGAAAATATTTGTTTTGTCTCATATGTTGTTGACTCCAAATCTGAAAGAAAACA